TATAAATCAATGAATCATTAATTAATCTAAAATAAATATATTATATATATTTCTTTATATATTTAAAAATATATATCATAATTATATGAATCAAAAATTTATATGACGTAACATAATAAAATATCTAATTAGAATCAATATCTAATTCATCTATATAATATGAAATATATTTACTATAAACTAACATTAATTTAGATATATATACGAATATTCTATATAAAAATATCAATTTTTATGTTTCAATTCAATCATAATAAACATATTTAATATTACAATTGAATATCATATATATATAACTATATCTATATTCCATAAAATACAATGACGCAACCCCAATTTGGAAGAGAGTATTATCTACCCACCCAAAAATACAATCCATGCCACAATAAAAATTTGCTATTGTGGTAGCAGGATTTATCAGCGCCAAAAATGATGAGTAATCTATTTGACTCACACTTATAGACATGTCCTTTGCTTTCTATTTTGGCAAAAGGGAAAAGGAAAAGGAATAAGGAAAAGATAAAAGGAAAGGACAAGGGAAAGCGATAGCAATGGAGTGAGTAGATAGCGCAACATTTATAAATATCCAAGAGTGTCTTGCTGCATATCATGGGTCGTAGATATTCATTGTCTTGTAGTCCAATTTTGCCATTGCCAGTGCCGGGAGCAACAAGACACCCGTGCAAGCCCCAGGGAAAGGAAAATGATAAGGGAAAAGGACAAAAATGGAAGGAATAGATGACGCAACTTTTCAGAGGGCCAGAGGTGCCTTGTTGCATATCATGCTGTGGGTGGTCATTGCCTTGCGGCCCAACTGCTAGTTCCGGAAACAACAGGACAGCAATGCAAGTCCCAGGCAAAGGAAACATTAGAAAAGAAGAAGGAAAAGGAAAAAGACAATATAATTGACACAATGGCCTTTGATCGAATCTACCAGCCCTATTTTTGTTGCGTTCCCCTCTTAAGGAGTAGATGGCACAATTCAATAAGCAGACAAGGGCCAATAGATGACGTAACCGTGGTCAAAGTGCAAGAGAAAATCTGTCAAACAAATTGGGCCATCTACTCTTCATTTTTATGTCGCCAATTTGATGAATGAATGAATATTTAAAATAACCAAGCATTGCAATATAAACAATGTTTTCCAAATTTATCTAAAAATTGAATGATGTAATGTCCTCGATTGCTTTTATGTTTAGTCTCTCGGGGCTGATATATTCTGTCTTCCCGCGTGGGGATTAAATGACACAAAGCCGATTTTCAAGGTCATGTATTTTACAAAGAAAATATCTATAATAGAACTAGGGTCGGCCCGCTATTTACAACAACGGAAAAAGACGATCCTCAAAATTCGAAACCGATAGATCAACAAATGAAGAAATTAACAAACCGACAAAACACGGACCGTTTTTTCCTTCTTGGCCGTCAATAGGGAACATGGGCCTGGCTTTCATTCATCGCATCAACGAATTTCATGCAACAACAAAGCACATTCTCTGTGACCGCCACGACAGCGGCACTCGCTGCCGCCCGGTTCTGTTGCAGGTCTCGTCGATTACTTTCTGCAAGTTCCTTGTCACTTGCAGCAGCCTTTGTGGCGGATGGCGAACAAGACAGAGGTCAATGCCACAGATCGCAAAGCGTTGCGCCAGAACTGCCAGAAACCGCGGACAGCCACCCACTGCAATTGATCGTTTAGGTTGACCAATGGATACACGTCCGAGTGGCTGTCGCCTGCCGGTCTGCCACTTCAGGAGCTGCAGTCGGATTGCTACGCGACACTCACGCTTCAACCAAGTTGTCGCTTCCTGAGAGCTGAGCGATGGTGTCAAGGGATCCGGACTGATCGGAATCTGAGCAATGCTGGAATGATATTGACATATTATCTATATCGATTCAATATTTTGGTATAAATATATATATGCATCTACGAATTCTTTGCATTTATTTGCAGTGCATAATTTTTTATGAAAGCTCCAAGATTGAACCCCCATTAAATAGTAATATTTCTTCTCAACAAAGGACTTCTTCTGACCCGCAAATAAATCGGCGTGAGTTGGCGACCCACCCGCTTGCGTTGTGCCTATGATAGAGGCAATGTCAAAATCGCAAATTATTTCAATACCTTGAAATTGATTTCTTTATTAATGGTGATTTTTCTACTTTGTTCCAAGCCTAAAGCAACAGCTCGAAACCTTATGAAATGTAATGATGCTTCGTCGCAGCATAGGACTTTGTCTGAGCCCGAGACAGGTCTAGTGTCAGTTGGCGACCCGCTAAGTTGCCTGCAGCCAACCAAGGGCGGGCACGACAACAGGGATAACAAGACGCCGAGACATCATTCCAAACCAACACAAATCCATTCAAAATCCAGTCCAAATCCATCTAGAATTACGCTATGCTCGGTCCCTTGGTCGAGAGGTCTGGGGCACTATACCGAAAGCTAGAAATATATCATACAGATTACAGATTATAATACTTTAGCATATATTTAATATGCTATTGGATTGTATGTTTTCAGCTGGGCCCTCCTGCCAAGCTGCCGATGACGGGGGCGACAACAACGCTTTTGGGTCCTGAGTTACCAGTCACCAGTCAAACTACTAGCAAATGGAGCTGGAGCTGGCAGGTTTGACCCACTGCCTCCTGGTCACATATTGGGGTTCTCCCCAATGCAAAAAATCGATCCCTTGTGCATGCGGCCGAATGTTGCAGCGGAAAGCGCTAGCGTCCAAGTGAAAAATATGGAATCAACGCGGTCGTTGCGAATAATTTCGAAATAAATCAAGGGTGTCTATAATGGACCATGCGAGATTCGAATCCGCGATCGACGGCGTCGGAATCTAACGGAATTGCTTAATAATGCATACCCCAAGACGAAAATAAAATATATCAAAACATTAAATTATTTCTTAGATTCAAAAATCGAAATATATAAAATAATACAATTAGCTAAGAAAAAAAAATATATCCTAATAAAGATCATAAATTATTTATAAAAGATCCAAAATAAAAATATAAAACGAAAATATAAAAACATAATTCGATTATTTCAATTATTTTACTTCTAAAATCCGCATATTTTTGCTCGATCGCCCCCCAATCCATAATAGTAATAGTATTAAATAAATTCAATTATATTATTTATTTGTTTTATAAATTATAAATTCAAATCTATTAATAAAAAATATATATATTCATTCATTTACGAATTAAATATTAACTAAATCCGTATTAATTTACAATCATAATCCATTATATATATTTCAAGAAAATATATAATCTCAATCACGATATATCACGATTTCAAAAAATCCGACAATTAAATTCCTTTAATATCAAATATCAACATATATTTTTAATACGAAAACCATTTACAAACAAATTTTCAAATATCAATCAAAATCTTTCCAAATACAATTATATATATAAATATATTCATATTTTCATCAAAATCAAAAATAGATATCTAAATATTAGATTATATCATATTTCCTTTTATAAATTGCTAATCAAAAATACATTCCCATCATCAATAATATATTCGATAATTTAAATTACCACTAAATCTTAATCTTTATAAAATATATGTTCATATCCTTAAGTATTTTAATTATTATATTTTTCTTTTTTTCCAAGCCTTTTAATTTAATTTAAAATTCACACAATCTCTCCACCAATTCTAATTATTTATCAAATAAAAATAATTACAATTAATCCCAAATAAATCTAAACAATTATGGATATTTTTTCAACTTCAAAATTATCAATATATTAATTATCCAAAAATCTAATATTAAATACCCACAATTAATTCGTACATCGCCCTCCAATAATTTTTATAATAAAGGGGTCATATAATATTTAAACAAACAATCAATTGCAAAAAATTGTTTCAAAAAAAAACATAGGTATCGCAGATTCTAGTATATATTGCTATCGAACGATTTTTTTACTGATTTTGTTTTCTATTAAAATATCTAAATACATTAGAAGTTATATAGCTAAATCAAATAGGCAATGTTTTTTCATCCTTCAACATCCTTCAACTGTTTTTTTCAATCCGCATTATTTTTTCAGCCCTCCACCTTTCTTTTTCACCATCTAAACCTTATTTTTCACCCTCGAACATTTTTTTCACCCTCTACCCTTTCTTTTTTGACCCTCCACCCTTTCTTTTTCACCCTCCTTCCTTTGCTTAGTGTGTTAGAGGGATGGATAGATGGATGGATGGATGGACCGCCATGCATTAGGCAATGCACAGAGTTATGATGAGTTATGCTGCTT